TTTTACAAGTTTCTCAAGAGTATTCAACAAATGATGTTTTTTGTTCTGTGTTGAAATATTTTCAGATGTATTTAATTGTGAGAGGAAAACATTTCAATTAAACTTATTTGAAGCCATCCTATTTATTCACTGTTGAACTAAATTGTGATAAAACATGTTTAATTAGAGTGGCTTTGATAAAATTGGAAAACATTCACTGTTCAAGTATAATCAAGGAATTGAGCCAACTATCCCACACTATTTTTCGTCCAAAGGCATTTAGTGCATCTGGGTCATGTACAGCCATTTGGTTTTAAGAGTGAGCTCTATCCAGCCATCCAGATGTGATGTGTACTTTTTGTACATTATTAACAGGATGGCAATCCTCAGATTAAGTTCTGAACTCCCAGAAGCAATTCATCCAAAGTTACTTCGAATGTAAGATAATATATAGGTTGTTAACTTTAATGAATTTTAGGAAGTTATATCACTTGAGTCCATTGACTATATAGTATCCTATTCTGTTTGGAAATTGAGTTGTTCTCCATCAAATTTTACAGAAAACGCTCTAAAGCCTCCTTTGTTTCAGAATTGCAGCTTGCCTGATATTTTGCCATGTGCGTGAAAGGATTTACAAGTGTCTTGTATATGTGGTTTAAATAGCTTGGGTTGTGATCTGCATGCACACAAGGGAGGGGAGGTGATGGCCTATTATCACTAACTGTTAATCTAGAGACCCAGGAAGTGTTCCAGGGAACCGGGTTCAAATCCTGCCATGGTGGAATTTGAATTCAGTTTAAAAGAAAAGCTGGAATTAGGAGTCTAATAATCATGAATCCATTGTCAATTGTTGGGGAAAACCTCATCTGGTTCGCTAATGTCCTTTAGGGAAGGAATCTGCTGGCCTATATGTGACTCCAGACACACAGCAATGTGGTTGACTCTTAACCACCCTCTGAGCAATAAGTGCTGGCCTAGTCAGTGATGCCGTCATCCCCTGAATGAAAACAAACGGGTATCTTTGTAAACTTTATAGAAACATATGTTGCCACTAAATCTAACAGACAAATTTTTGTTCCATACAAACCTGTTGCGAATCTTTACTAAACCTATCCAAATGTTATGAGCAAAAAAAAAAATGCCAAGTTTAACCCCACCATAAATTCAAAACTCAAGATGCAAGTACTATCTCTGAAACAAATCGCATTAGTCTTCTTTTAACAGTTCCTATGAAAGGTGAAAACCCAAAAAATTAAAAGTTCCTTACAGCTGCCAAACCTCTCATCTGACAAAGAAGTATCAGGCGTCAGTCCTTCTGATTTACTATCAATGGTTTGTAACCTTCTGGCTGGAACAGAAAACGACAAGTATTAGAATATGCCAGGTTTTTTCTTTATATTTTTGATAGTTATGGTAAAACATTGTTCAGTCCGTGAAGCTGTTGAATGGAAT